TTTGCCGACCCCTGAGCTAGGAGAAAGATGGAAGTCCTGCCATTTGCAACAATGTGGATGGACCTTGAGGGCATTATGCTAAGTGAAATAAGTCAGCAGAGAAAGACCAATATTGTATGTTCTCACTTACATGTGTAATTGAAAAATGTTGAAGTTATACAGACAGAGAGTAGAATGGTAGTTACCAGAGGCTAGGGTGTGTGGGAGGGAGTGGGGGAAATGGGGAGATGCTGGTCAAAGGGCACAAACTCCCAGCTATAAGATGAATATGTTCTGAGGTTCTAACGTACAGCATGGTGACCAAAGTTAACTATACAGTATTCTGTACTTGCAAATTGCTAAACAAAGTCTCTAGATATTGCCCAATGTCCCCTGCAGGGCAAAGTAGTTCCCAGTAGAGAACCACTGTTATAAGCTAATCAAACTAGACCACCTGCATGGATGTCTAGAAAACACATTTCTTGGGTCACTGTTATCTAGACCTGTAAGTAAGACTACGAGATGGGAAAGATGGGGAACATATGCCTCACCCTTTCAAGTCATGTCAATTTTGGATTTTTGAGATTTACTTTGGAGCACCAAGGTCATTACTCATGGCCAACTGTAGTGTCAGAGATGCATTTAGGTCATTCTATGAGAGCAGAAAGAGATATCTCAGCACAGGGAATATAGTCAATAATATAACGTGGTACACTGTCCGATGGTTGCTGGACTTATCATGGTGACCATTTCTTTAGGTATGTAAATGTTGAATAACTCTGGTGTACATCTGAAACTAATATAATATTGTATGTTAGCAATATTTTTTTTCACTTTTTTGTTAGCAATATTTTAATAAAAAATTTGTTAAAGAAAAAATATCTAGGGCAAAGAAAAGACTAAGTTTTTAACAGCTTGATGCTCCTTATCATAGGTTTGGGGCCTCCCCACCTCTTTTCCTACTCTCAGTTGCTGTCGTGGTTATGGTGTTGTGCTGAGAGGGGAATTTGGGAAATCATTATTTCTGGAGCTTCAGAAATCTTTGCAAATGACTCTCTTTACATAAAGCTTCAGCTCAGTCAGTCAACATGTATTTATTGAGCACTGTTCTAAGCACTGAGGATGCACTCTCTGCTCTCAAGGGCTTAAATTCTAGTGACTCCAGATACCTTATGAACTTTCCCAAGATCATTAGGAATAATAGAGGTCATTAAAATCTAAGTGTTTTTTTTCCCCCTGCCAGATGGTTTTTGTTCCCATTGGTGTCTCTCACAATCTAGAAGCCATGGCACCCAGGGAAGGCATAGGTCCTATGCCATCTACAATGTTGACACACACTGGAGACACCTGGGTGACATGCTTAGGGTGATAGAAACCATCAGGAGTCAAGTCTAGTACCCATTGTCTTCTCCTCCACCATGAAATCTAGGATATGGTAGAAGAATAAGATGGATATAGGGTGGATGATGGGGAGAAATGGTTAGGTTTGGGGCAAAATGGCAGGGCCATCCAACATCCTGGAGGCATTGTGAGGGAAGAGGAACCTGAGATGGGGACATGGGACAACGTGAGAAATGGTAGAGAGACTGTGTGGTAGACTCCCCAAGGATGTCCACGTCCTGATTCCTGGAAGCTGTGACTATGTCCCTTCACCTGAGGTGACCGAAGGAACTAAAGTTGCTAATCAGTTGACCTTAAAATAAAGAGATGATCCTGAATTAGTTGGTTGGTCCCAATACAATCACAAGGGTCCTTAAAGTAGTAAAGAGAGGAAGAAGAGGAAGTCAGACTCAACCACCTATTCAAAATGAAGGCAGAGGCCACAAGCCAAGGGATGCAGGAGCCTCTAGAAGCTGAAAAAGGAAGGCGGAGTGGATTCTCCCCTAGAGTCTTCAGAAAGGACTAGCCCTGTTTACACCTTGATTATAGCCAGCGAGACTCATTGTGTAGGAGTTCTCTCACCTACAGAATTGCACGATAATACATTTGTGTTGTTATAAGCCACAAAATATGTGGTAATTTGTTACAGCAGCCCTAGGAAACTAACACAAGCTGCAAAAAGACTCTGATGCCAGTTGTGTTCTCAGGGAGGAGTTGTGACTGCTTGTGAATATGATGATGAGGTGTCTGTCCTCAGAAGAGCCCCTGGAATGGTCCCGCAGTGAACAGGGCAGGGTGAAGACATGGGCTCCAGGCAGGAGCTTATGTCTCATGAACAATTCCTTTGCAGGGCTCTGTGCTGGCCAAGGAGACATAAGAAGACATGGTGAGTGTTTCTTCAGTTAAACCCTCCTCCATCCTTCACTCCCAAAGGCCCCATTTTCCCCTTTGCCTTCTTTAAATGGGCTCCCGAGAGCAGGTGAATGAACCAAATCCAGCCCTGGACTCCGCTTCCTTCCAGAGTCACTTCCCAGGCCCTCCATCAGTGCCTGGCCCAGCTCGGTGGTTCCTGCCAACAGTACAGTGACGCTGCGATGCTCAGCTCCTACCAGGGATGGAAACTTTGCTCTCAGAAAGAACGGATTTCCTCAGGGCTTCGTGCCATCTCCTGATTCCCCAGAGGGCCTGGCTGAATTTCACCTCGCTGATTTAAAAAACAGTAATGCTGGAGAGTACACCTGTGAATACTACCGAAGAGAGAGCCCCCACATAAGGTCACCACCCAGTGATGCCCTTTTGCTACTGGTGACAGGTGAGGACAGCATGCTCAGAATGCTGTAGGCCTTCCTGGGACAGGGATGAGGGAGAACGAGAGGGGCCAGGGGGTCTCACCTCCAGTGTGTGGCTGGGGAAGAGGAAATGGACAAAGACAGGAACAGAGCTGATGACCTTGGCTTCATCCAGGGCCTGTAGGAGGGAAATCTTCCTGGAATCAGAGCACCAAGAGGGTGAGATCGGCTGTCTGTCACTTCCCACTCTCCCTGGGAACCCTGCCAGGAGAACAAGGTTGAGGGGGGACCTAAGGCTTCTCCCCATGACCTCACAGCCTTCCTTCTCTTACAGGGAATTTCCCTAAACCTCTCCTCCAACCCCACCAAAGGGGTAAGGTGACTGCAGGAGGAAAGGTGACCCTGCAGTGCCAGAGGCCAGAGCATTTGACTGAATCTATAATGTTTGCTCTACTGAAGAAGGGAACTTCAACTCCCATACAGATCCAGAATCCAGTAGGAAAGGAGACAGACTTCTCCCTTCAGAATGTGGCAGTTGATGACACTGGGGACTACAGCTGTGTGTACTTCCAGGGAAAGCCTCCTTTCTGGGCCTCAGAGCCCAGTAACCACCTTGCGATCTGGGTGACAGGTAAGGTGTTTACCATTGGGAGGCTGATAGCTGGATTATCTGCCAGGTGACTTCTGCCACAATTCTCCAATAAAATTTTTTTAAATTACTGTAATATATAATGTACACCCTATATATACATATAGTATATGTATATTATTACATATATATATATGTAAGACTATACCATACACCATATTTCCCCATGTATAAGATGCTCCCATGTATAAGACGCACCTTAATTTTGGGGCCCGAAATTTGAAAAAAAAATGTATTACATAAAAGTTATTGAACTCAAGTTTTATTCATCATAAAATTCATACAACTCCTCATCGCTGTCAAAACTCCCAACCATTAGCTTGTCTTCATCTGTGTCTGATGACAAATCACTGTCTTCATATATTGCCTTGTCCTCAGTTCCATCTATGGCATTTGAAATCTACAACCACTGTATAAGACGCACCCAGTTTTTAGACCCCAAATTTTTTGAAAAAAAGTGCCTCTTATATATGGAGAAATACAGTATGTAAGAATTTCCTTTCTTTGGAGGAATTTGAAAAATACTACCTAATAGAATAGAGAATAAAATAACAGATAGTCATGCATAACTACCTGGAATTGCTCTGTTCACATGCAGTCATATTTGCTCCAAGTTCTTTTCTTTTCCACAAATAAAAATTAAGAAAAAGAGTCCGCTTTTCCTCCCCACATTATTCCCATGATCTCACCTCCCCCAGTAGAAACTTGCACCCTGAACTTGGTGTCATCATTTGTGTACATGTTTTTATACATTTACAATCTTGGTACGCCTTTGTAAATAATATAGGGTTTGAAATTGTACAGCAATGGTATACTACTGTGACTTCACCTTTTTAAGCCAGGGATTCTCTTCTAGAAGACACCGAATCTTCCAACAGAGCAGAAACAACACTAGGTAAGAGAAAAGAGCTGCCCGGGCCAGGGTCACACAAGCACGGGATAAGGCTCCCTTGTGACAGCGAGACATCCATCACTAGTAACGTCCTCAGGATGTTTGTCTGTATTTTGGTGACACTAGAAGACTGTAGTTCAATGCAACGTGTTCCGAGGTGGGTGGGGTCGGAGTCCTGGCTCTGCCTACTCAGTAGCTGGGTGCCTTTGGAAATCTTTCTTCCACTCTCTGACCCTCAGCTTGTGCATCTGTAAAGTGGGCATCCTTCTAAGTCTCTTCCGGGACACTTGTAAGTAGGAGAGAGATGTAGTTTGTCTCCAGCATGTCACAGGAACCCAATCAGTGGTAGACATGTAGGCATCAGAACAAGTCTTGGGAAACCAACTGGCCCTCTTACCTGCTCTCCTCTCCAGGGACCACTGAAATCATCCTCATCATCATCTTCACCTTACTCTTCCTCCTCGCAGCCTTCCTCATCTACAGATACTCCAATTGTGGTGAGTTCAGGAGAAAAATGGCTACATCTTCTGGGGGAAGTGGGAGAAACACAATGAGGTAACACCACAAGGTTGATCCATCCTCTTCTCTTTCTTTATCTTCAGGGGCAGCTCTTGACAAGATGACTAAAAGGTAGTCCCATCAACCAACACTTGCCTCTTCCTCCATCGTTTCCAGGACTAATTACCCTTCTGTCTTGCCTCAACCTGTTCTGTGCCCCAAACCAGCTCTACTGACCACCTCAAGTCTCTCTTCTCACAATCACCCTCCGCTTCTCACCTGATGTCATTTCCTTGCATTCTTCCCTCATGGAGCACACTGCCCCCAGCCACTTCCTCTTCTTTGGCTCTCAAGACTTTCCTGAGCATCAATAACCTGGAGACCTGAGGGTGGGACGTCAAGCTGGGAGTAGGTGGAGAGACATGAGTCTCCATGTGACCCTGCTTTGCATCTCACCTCCACCTACTCACAAGGACCTTGATTTCTCCCTGGCTTCCCTGATCTCCAATGCTTCACTCTCTTTCTCTCTCAGCTCCCACTCTTCTAAGAAACCTGAAGAAGTGGTGACAGGTAATCAACCCAGGATAGAAAGTGGTGGTGAGGGGGATCTGTGTGTGCGTGTGTTTGTGTGTATGAGTATGCGATGCATGCATGTGGTGTGTGCACATGTGAGTGGTCGGTGTGCATGTGAGTCTGCACGTGTAGTTGTGCAGGTGTGTACATATGCATGTGTGGTGTGTGTATGTGCTGTTTGCACAGTGTGTGTTTTCCATGTTTGTGTGCATGTGAGTATAAATGTGTATATGTGAGTGAGTGTGCACGTGTGTGTGAGTATTGCATGTATACATGCACTGGTGTGTGCATGTGTCAGTATGTATGTTCGTGTGTGTATGCATGTGAGTATGCATGTGTGCAAGCTCATGTGCATGTTGTGTGTGTGTGTGTGTGTGTGTGTGTGTGTGTGTGTAAACCTGACCCCTGAAGCCTAGGGTGAAATGATGGCAGAAGCTTCTCCCTTCCAGATGTGTCTCCAGCTGTAAAGAGCTGCTCTCTTGCTCTGGTGAGTTTCCAGTTTGGCGGTTTCCCATCAGCCCCCTCCCTTATTCTGGGCTCTCCATAGCTCCCCCTCCAGTTTTGTCAATGGTTTGGGCCTCTGCTTTCATTCACCCCAATCCTTCCCCTACATTTCAGGAGAACCTGGTCTAAACCTGCCTATGCCTTCTCTGGCTGTGGGACCTTCATCCCATGACTGCTCATTTCTGAGGACACTTCTGTCTGTAAATGGGTTGAACGCCTCCTTCTATATAGCATTAATTGGATGGCTTAAGGAGCTCACAGCCACAGAACTATCAGTGGGACTCCAGGTGTAGCATAAGCACTCAGTATCTTGAAGCTATTGTTATTATAACTACCTGTGGGCCCCCAGGCAAGTGCCATTCCTACCCTGAGCCTCAGTTTCCTCATCTGGACAATGGGGATGATATTTCACCTCTCGGTGAGAATATGGTAAGGTCCCTCTGTAAAGCACCTACCACACTGTACACCACATAGCATCAGTCATCAGTAGCAGTATTAATAGTAGCTCTTATTTTTTCCCCTTTATAATTCAATTTTTTAAATTGTAGCAAAATAAACATAAAACTCACTATTTTAACGTGTACAATTAGTGCTATTTGGCACACTGCCAATGTTGTGTTGTGCAACAATCATCATTATCTAGTTCCAGAACATATCTGTCACCCCAAAAGGAGCCCCTACATCCTTTCAGCAGTCCCTCCTCCTCCCTCCCCTAGCTCCTGGCAGTAACCAACCTGCTTCCTGGCCCAGTGGATTGACTGGATGTTTCCTGCCAACACTTACTTTGGTAGCTGTTTGTATGAATTATCGATTCTTAACAAATAGTCCCCAAGTGTAGAAGCTTAGAGCAACATTTATTACCTCCCATGACTGTAGGTCAGGATCTGGGTGTGGCTGGACTGGGTCTTGTCACTCTGGGTCTCACAGGGCTGTGACAAAGGTGCTGGCCAGGGCTGCAGAGGGCTTGCCTAGGAGATCTGCTTCCATGCTCACTCAGGCGGCTGTCGGCAGGATTCAGTCCCTTGCTGGCTGTGTGCTGGAGACCACACTGGCTGCACAGGCTTCCCCGCACGCCAGCTCCTAACACGGCAGCTGGCTTCATCAGTATGAGTGAGTAAGAGAACAGTAGAGAAGTGGGCATCAGTCTTTCATGACACTGTTTTGGTCATGACATCCCACCTTTCTCCTCTTTTGTGTTTTTGTTTTTGTTTTTGCTATATTCCTTGGATAGATGTAAGACATTAGGTCCAACCAACTCTCAAGAGGGGAGGGGACCTCACAGAGACTTGAGGAGTAGGAGGCTCTGGAGAGGTCCACCTGGAAAGCTGTCCAGCACACTATTAGGGCTGCTCAGTCCTCACCATGGCACAGTCCTCCCTGGAAGACTTGATCCTCTTCTCCTCGCTTACCTTCAGGAGGAAGGAACTCAGGGGTCAAGAGCTGAAGAACCTCACGGAGTGACATATGCTGAGCTGAACACCAGAGCCCTGAGTGAGGGCCCTTCCAGCCAGGAGAAGCAGCCTCTGGAGACCTGTGTGTACTCAGCCCTTAAGATGTAGCCAGGAGGAGGTCTGCAACCAGGAAGAACCTCCGACAAGGGAGTGGGTATGGGGCCTCCCGCTAGGGGGATGAGGCAAATGAGGATCGCTGACCTCAAATCTCCAATTTAGACTTGATTCCTTCTTCTAAAAACTTGTTGTTTTAAAGTGAGAAGTATCATTTACATAAAGTGATATGCAAATGAGAGGACTCAGAATGGCTGCTTGATCATGCCGGGAAGACCAACTGTGTGATTGGAGAGTTGGGGATTAGAGCCAGGTGCTATCAGCCTGACCTCTAGGGAAGAGAGGAAGGCTGGAGATTGACTCAATCACATGAGCAATGAGTCAATCAACCGCACCTGTGTGATGACTGTGACTACATCCCAATGAAAACCCTGGACACTGAGGCTGGGGGAGCTTTCTGGTTGGTGACACACCTTGATGTACTTGGAGGGTGACATACTCTGAGAATATAGGAAACTTTGCTTTGGGGAGCCTTCCAGACCTTACCCTATGTGTCTCTTCATTTAGCTGGTCTTGATTTGTATCCTTTATAATAAACTTGTAATCCTAAGTATAGCATTTTCTTGAATCCTTTGAGTGGCTCTAGGAAATTATTGAATGTGAGGTGTACTGGGTATCTCCAAAGCTTTCAGCTGTCGGTCACAAGTGCAGGTAGCCAGGGAACACCTGAGCTTGCAGCCGGTGTCTAAAGTGAGGGTAGTCTTGTGGGCACTGTGCCTGTAACCTGTGAGGTCTTTGCTAACTCCAGGTAGTATGCAGCTGAACTACGTTGCAGCTCAGAAGTTGACCCTTCCGCAGTTCAGCCTTCAGATTAGACCCCAGCCCTGGCAGGCATGGTATCCTCAGCCCTGTATGGGTGAATTTCTGGCCCTTGGAACTAGGAGAGAATAACTGCGTTGCTTATGCCACTAATCTGTGGTAATACTGTAACACGGCAATAGATAACCAATACACTCACTCATACCCTGTTGTGCACCCTTCCAAAGAACGATGCCTGGGACAAGGAAACTTCAAATGATTTTCTGCAAAAGGAAATGAATGGGCTTTTGAGACAGAGCTGGGTTCCAATTCCTGCACCTGCCCTTCTCACTTCTGCATTTTTGAGCAAGGGAGCCTGCCTTGTCGTGCCTAAGTTTACCTATTTCCAGTTCATATGGACCAAAGGAATTTTACCACATGCAATTTGGCAGGAAGCATACTAGTTCACCTGTATGGTGAAGTAGACAAATTGGTCAAAATGTATGCATAGGTAAATTGGAATTTACACTTTTAAGTGGCAGAGACACAAATATTTCCTGACCTAAAGACAAAAAGCAGTGAGGGTGGCTCAGTGAGCTGGTGTGGAAGAAAAGGAAGTAGAAGCTTGTGGTTTCAGACCTTTTGATAATTTCATTTTAGGGGAACCCACTGACTAACAGCCTGTGAGTAACACATACCTTGTCCGGGAGTCGAAGATGACTTTAAGTGCAGACAGCATAGCTTCACAAAAATTTGTGTGAACCCCAGAGAATGTGGTACAGCACCCACACATAATGGTTCTTCCAGGACTGTGCTGTAAGGGCTGATCCCAGCAGAATTGCACTGAACAGTTCATGCTGATGTAAAAATGGACTCCATGATGCCAACGCCTGGTGGCAGAATCAAACACACTGATTAACAGTGTTGCTTTGTAACTGGGGGTCCAAGGAATTCTGGGGAAGTTTGGACCAGCTTGTCAGTATTGTTTATTGGTAATCATGGAAGTGATGGTTTACACTTGGTCCTATGAGACCCCCCCCAGAGGGCTCTGCCATCGGGGCTAGCAATGTAGCAAGAATGCACCAATGTGCCCATGATGGAAGAAACCCCAACCAAGGATTCACTCTGGGTTTTCTGGTTCTGAAGTGTTTTGTGAACACGGTGATGGTTTCTGATCCAAGAGAGAAAGCCCATCCATGCACCCTATGGGATGAGGAGAAATTTGGGGCTCATGCCTGCTATCTGGGCATTCTTTTTGTCAGGGAAACCTACTATCATTTTAAAGCTATATGTATCGCTGCTATGTCATATGCTTTTCCTGCACCACACAGTAGACTCACCAGCATTGCCATTTGGGTTCTGCGAGTCTCCTAGTGACCTGAATGTTTGCCCAGGATTTCCAATATTCTCAACAGTTAAGTGCCTTCATCTCCTCAGCAGGAATTCTGCAGGCTCAAGCCTTAGGCATTTAAGGGGTTACCTGTTTGATGCCTGAAATCTGACAGAGACAGAGGAAGTCTTCTGTGAGTCAGGTTCTTGAACACGGGTGTAAGAAGAGCGTGTTGCAATCAGTGACCTCAAGTTCCCAGAAAGTGGTTGTGGGAAAAGGGAACTGACAGCTCAGAGGAAAGTCATAACGGCCCACCCTCAAGCCAGGGGTGATGCTGTGATCATCCCAGCTTTTCTCCCTTCTGCAGATGGCAAAACTGAAGACAGACCCCCAGACAGGTTGACGTGACACTATGGGGCATATGCATAAACTGCTTCCTGTCCTCTGTTTCTGTAAGTCCCATGAGCAGTACATGGGGATTGGAGAAAACAATATAATCGGTGGGAGGTTATAATTGGGAACGAAAATAGGCATAATAACCTCAACTGTGGTTTACTGAGTGCATATTATGTATCAGACATCTTGCCAAGATTCATACATTACCTCTAAACTGGTGCTTTCCAATTTTCTTCTTCTTTTTTTTTTTACATTTATTTATGTACTTTTTTTGTTTGTTTGTTTGTTTCAGGTGTACAAAACAATGTAATAGTTAGACATTTACACCCCTCACAAAGTAATAACCCCTGAGAAGGTGAGGGGATTAGAAAGCACAAATTGGTAACCACAATATTGCCACAGGGATATGAAATACAGTTTGGAGAATATAATCAATAACGTTGTAAAGATTTTGTAGGGTGCTTTCCAATTTTCAACGACTCTTACTCCAACTTCAGGATTTTTGCTGTGTCTCAACTACCCATACTTCATTGACTTGATGTTTTTCTTAATATCAACTCAGACTTTTTGCTTAGATAAAAGTGTCTGGGCCGGCTGAGTGGTGCAATGGTTAAGAACTGACTTGGGACACCAGAGGGCCCCGGTTCAGATCCCACATATGAGGGCCAGTGACACTGCCCTCCACAGCTAAGATGCTGAACNACATGGGCCAGTGAAGCAACGTCCTCCACAACTAGACTGACGAACAAAAGGACAGCAACTTGTCTGTTCCCCTCCCCCAATTCCCAAATAAAATCTTAAAAAAAAAAAAGTACTAATGTCTGAGCCCCACTCAAAGACTCTGATTTATTTTCCTGTGGTGTGGTCTGCCCACTGGGCTTTTTAATTAGCTCCCCAGGGGAGCCCAGTGAGCAGGTGAAGTTAAAAACCATTGGTTAAGCCTTTTCCCTTCCGGACGCTGCCGAGGTGGCACGCGCGAGGTTTCTCCGCTGCCGCCGAGATGCGCTATGTTGCCTCTTACCTGCTGGCTGCCCTCGGGGGCAATACCTCCCCCAGCACCAAGGACATCAAGAAAATCCTGGACAGCGTGGGCATCGAGGCGGACGACGACCGGCTCAACAAGGTCATTAGTGAGCTGAACGGAAAAAACATTGAAGCTGTCATCGCGCAGGGCATTGGCAAGCGGGCCAGTGTTCCTGCCGGTGGGGCTGCAGTCGTCTCCGCTGCCCCAGGAGCTGCAGCTCCTGCTGCTGGTTCTGCCCTGGCTGCAGCAGAGGAGAAGAAAGACGAAAAGAAGGAGGAGTCGGTTGACGACATGGGATTTGGCTTGCTTGATTAGAGTCCTGTGCCCCTGCAAATTAAACCCTTTTTATGTAAAAAAAAAAAACCCCAACAAAACAAAAACCATTGGTTGAAATACCCTACAAATGTAGGTGTATCTGAGACAGGGAAGAAAGTATGTTTTCTCTTTTTCTGGAACACCCGTTTGGATTTTTCAAGACTAATTTTAGGGCACCAAACACTGAACTTTGTTTCATGTGGATATCAAGGGATAAAAACACATAATGGCTAAGACTGGATCACAAACCTTTGAAGACTAAAGCGAAGGTGGTCATAGCTAACACTAGCTCGTGACAGAGCTTCCTCTGTGTCTCAACCAATTCCTTACCCCACCCAAGGGATGTGGCTCAGTATGGTGTGAGGAAGGGATGGGGTCAAGCTGGTGGAGAAAGACAGAAAGATATTGTAAGGTTGTGTCTTTTTACAACCTCGTAGGATCTCTCAATTATGCATCGCATCAGTCAATGTGCATTTGTAGAGGTCCTACTATGTGCCAGGACCTGTGAAAACACTGGGGATAATGAGGTGAAAAGCACGGAGTCCTTGCCTTCCAGCTACTTACATGTAGTGACATCTTGTGTCCCTCATGGCATGAGGTACATATTTTTTCTATGAACGCTCTGAAAAAACTTACAACCAAATGGTTCTTTTAATTTATGTTACTCAAGGCACCAAACAGCCTTCAATATGAGGGTTCTTCTATCACAGATGAGGGTGTCAGGAGACTCAGGCCTACTTAGGGCCTCACATGACAGGCCTGTCACCAGGCTTTCATAATCTCTCTCATGATTTCTGCCTCCTACCCAAGACTGAGAGATGTAGAAAACATAACACAGACCCTAAAAGAAATGGTAAGACTAAGAGAGGATCAAGACAGAAGAGGAGAATTGGAGGATTCATAGAATTTTGTGGAAACAAGAAATGCCCTGGAGCTTTGGGAGGTGATAGCAGCATAGAGAACCTCTGTGAGAACAATGGAGGAGCTCAGAGCAGAGTTGAAGGCAGAGTCCAGCATGGGGAAAACGAGAACTCCCACATGCATGACCTCCAGGGGTCCATCCTCAGCAAGAGCCTGTGGGA